GCCGCCCGGCACAGAGCCTGGGAGTGAGGCGGCTCTGAGCCCCTTGCCGGCCCTGGCCAGCCGGGGAAGAGGACGGAGGCCTGCTGGAGCCTGCTGGGAACAGGCTGGCTTCTCTAGGAAGACCCACGGGGAACAATTCCTCTCAGGCCCCAAAGCCTGTAATCCACAGGCCTTTCCAGGGCACTGGCTCGTTTTCATCTGTGGAAACTGTAAATCTTGAAACAAATTGTGTTTCTTCTGTCTCTGCTTTGGCTCCTGGGAAGCTCCAGACCAAGTTTCTGACCCACCTGTCCCACCTTTACAGGACTTAACGGAGTTTGCTTCTGTATGATCTCTTTTGGCTTAATTTTCTTTTTTCGCTGACCCCTCATGACTTATTTTTGCACTCTGTCTGTTTTCCCTGAAAGCTACACCACATTGTTTGTGGAAGGATACAACTGTGAGCAGATAAGCAAGTGACCTGTGAAACGGGGGGGCCTCTGCCGCCAAACACGGTTACTATTTTTTTTTAACCTCACAACCTATGCTGAATTAGTAGGTAGGCAATTTCTCCCTTCATTTTTTCCCTTTTTAAGTTTTTTTTTTTTTTAAATAAGTTGTGTATGCTCATGGTTTCAGAGTCAAATGATTCTAGTCACACATACAGCAGCCTCCTGACACCCCTGCCCCCACTTCCTGGTCCTCAGAGGCTGGAACTCTTAACTGATTCTAAATAATATGCTGATGCTGCTACTTCTGGCTTCTCAGTTTGGGGCATTTCTATGGACTTCCCAATATGAATATGAGGATATTATTCTTTCAAACACCCTCCCGCAATGCTCATCTTCCTGCCCACTTTTTGATGGCTCAGCCATAGCCCTCGGGGCTCACACCACTGACTGTGTGGAGAATGAAAGTTGCACAATATTGCGTGTTAGGGTTACTTTTCCCTTTTGTTTCCTGGAATCGGTCTCTCTCTCCTTAGTCTTACCTCCCACCCCCACTTGACTGGTGGGGACTTAGGTCCTCTCAGGGTCACACAGCACAGTGGGGTCCTGCCCCTGCTTTTCTTGGGTCTCTGCCACGGCACCCACCTTCCCCAAGCGCACCGGTCAGCCCTTCCGGAAGGCCGGGCTTGCAGTCTAGGCCTGCATGCTGCTCTCAGGAAACAGGGAGCTACTCTTTTCGCCTGAAAGTCACAGGCCTGAAACTTACCTGGAATGAGCCCAGGGCCAGTTCAAAAAACAGCTGGATCTCCATGGCATCATCTGGCGAGAAGGCGAAGATGATATAGTGGGCGCCGAAGAGAGGGATCAGCAGGAGGGTGGACTTGGCCAGACGCCTGCGGACGCAGGAACACGCTGCAGCCTCTGTCCCTCACCCGCCCGTGGGCGCCCGGCTCTGCACACCCCGTCTCGCCTTTTGCAGGAGGCATAGCAGCAGTGTCCCCAAACTTTTTGTTTTTACTTTGGAAAATTTTCAACTCTCATGTACCCATCACTGAGACACAACACTTACCAACACATGGCCAGTCCCAAAACTTCCTGACCAGGCATCCCACCAGTAAAGAAAACAGAACATGGAACCGCTCAAATAACTATTTACTCGTAATGATGTGCAAATATGACTGCCACTCTGGGCCTAATATAGTATCAGCAAGGCCGGCATTCACATTTGTTTGATAATAAGGTGAAATTCTTTCATTTTCTTCCCAGGTTAGATTGACCAAATTTAGCAAATACAAATACAGGGTGGCCAGTTTAATTTGAATTTCAAATAAACAATGGATTTTGGGGGAGTGTAAGTACTAAAAATACTATTTGTTGTTTATCCAAAATTCAAATTGAACTAAGCAGCCTGGGTTTATCCGGCCGTTTTATCCTGAATGCCCAGCTCCACCCTGCTTTGGAGCCCACTGCCCTGTGGACATCCTAAGGAATCTATCGCCAAGCAATCCGGGCTGCTGCGAGCTTCTTAACACTGTGAACACGGCAGAGAAAGTCCCTGGGAGACATTGTTTTGCCTTTAATATCTGTCATGGGTTGACTTGTGTCCCCGCCCAAATTCACAAGTTCAAGCTCAACCTGAAGGACCTCAGAATATGACTACAGTATTTTCAAATAGGGCCTATAAGAGGTGATTAAGTTGAGGTCATTATGCGGGGCTTATGTGAGCACAGGAAAAAGTTCATGTGAGGACACAGCTAGAAGGCAGCTGACTACAAGCCAAGGAGACAGGCCTCCGTTGAAATCAAACCTGCCGACACCTTCATCTTGGACTTCCAGCCTCCACAACTGTGAGAAATTTAATATCCCTTGTTCAGAATTCTGTAGAATTTTATGGCAGCCCTAGCAAACTAATACAGCATCTCTCTTTACATCTCAACAGTTTTAAAGTATTCTTGGATTATACATCTTAAAAATGTGATGGAAGTTGAGGTCACTCACCCTGAAAAATACACCCACCTAGCCTTTCCCAAGGGTGAAATCCCTGACTCCAGGGTCCTGCTGGGATTTCCTATCTCCTCACCCCAGACCCGTTCCCCTGCCCCCATGTATAATATAAACTCCCTGGAACTAAGTCACGGTTTTCCCTTCTCCCCTGTGTCCAGTGGTGCCTAGCACCAGCTGGGTGAACAGTAGGTGCTCAGTAAATGTGTGCTGGCTGAGCTTGCCTAAGACTTTGCCCCCCACTCACTTATAATGGTTTACTTCACTTCCTCTTGTTTCTTGGGTTCTCAGTTTTCTCATCAGGATTCTTAGAATGTTTACAAAAAGTATGAAATTAATCTGTAAAACACAAGACAGAGGGGTGTTTAAGGTGATTTACATCCCCATCACCTCTCCTGGCCCTGCCCCTGGAACTGAAGGCAGAGACGGCACTGCAGACCATACCCAGGATCGCCCCAGGATGGCACATCACTGCTCCCCTTTCCCCCCACCTCGCCCTGGTGAAACGCTGTGTGGAGCCGTGCAGCCCAGCACTCCTGCCCAGCGCTGCAGGAGTCTACGGTCGGCTCAGCCACGGCAGGACTCCTCACACCCGGAGCCGTGGAACCCCTGGGAGCTTGTTCAAGTGCAGGTCTGGTGGGCCTGAGACCCAGCATTTCCAACCAGCTCCCGGAATGCTAAAGCTGGCCCTTGGGCTACACTTTGAGTAGAACTGTTACACACAGGTCCTCAAAGTTTAGAATGCAGACTGCTGCATCTGGGTATGGCCCAAGAATTTGCATTTTTTAAGCTCCCAGGCGACGCTGAAGCTGCTGGTGTAGGGATCACACAGAACTGCTTCAGGGCCTTGTGGTCACTGGGCAGCTCAACCACCAGCTCCAGGAAGCCATCCATGATCACCTCCCTTTCCTAATGCACTGTAGTAGGGGTCATGCTACTGCGTAAGAGCACTTGAAACATTTGAGAGGGGCCAAATGCATGCATCTGTCCAAGTTGTATGCTTGTCCACTGTCTGCCAACTCGATCATACTTCCTAAAGGACAGGAATGGAGTTGCTTCGCTTCTTTGGTGCCCCTTCCCCGACCCTGGTGCCAGTGCCAGAACATGATGAAGTTGCCCACGTGGTGGCACCTCTCCTCCCCGCTCATCACCAGCTCCAGCACCATTTCCAGAAGCAGAGATGAGTGGCATCACCCAGCGAGGCACCCTCTTTTTCATACAAATAGCCTTGGGCCTGGGGACACTTGCCACAATACACAGGACTAGTGGCCCGTCTAGGACTCCTCGCCCAGCACTGCTGCTCTGGGACACTGCTTCTCGGATTGTTATGCATCTTGCTCTGAGCTGGCTGTGCATGGGGTGACCAAAGAAAGGCTCTCGATTTCATTTTATTTTGTTGTCTTGGAGTTGTATTTAATTTCATAGGGAGCACTGTAGGCAAAAGAAACAAAATCTTAAGATCCCAAGAATGAGACGTAAATGATGTAATTCTAGGCTGCGTGACAGGCTGGGAGGGAAATATTTGCATCAGGAATGCTCATTCCACACCCCTCAAACACGACAGACCGCAGTCCTGTGAAGTCAGCTTGGACACTGGGGCTGGTCGTCCCTCAGCTGGGGTCCACTGGGCGGGGCTGTCAGAGTCCCAGAGTCCCAGAAAGGAAACCGCTGACTGAGTGAGGAAACCAACTCCTGGGGAGCACTAGGCAGCCGTGGCCACTGGTTGGTCAAATAACTTCAAGGGACCCGGGAGAGCTCACATCTACTGCTAAGCGAAACAAACAAACGAGGCCACAGAACCTTATTCAGCATTTGGGGTGGGGGAAGGACGTGTGCTCAGAGAAAAGATAGGAAGGAGCCCTGGCCGGTTAGCTCAGGTGGTTAGAAAGTCGTCCTGATACCCCAAGGTTATGGGTTCACTGCCTGGTCAGGGCACTTACAAGAAACCAATGAATGCATCAATAAGTGAGGCAGCCCTAGCCGGTTTGGCTCAGTGGATAGAGCATCAGCCTGCAGACTGAAGTTCGATTACGGTCAAAGGCACATGCCCGGGTTGCGGGTTCGAGCCCCAGCAGGGTGTGTGCGGGAGGCAGTCAATCAATGATTCTCTCTCATCATTGATGTTTCTATCTCTCTCTCCCTCTCCCTTACTCTCTGAAATAAATAAAAATATATTTTTAAAAAATAAGTGGGACAACAAATTGATGGCTCTCTCTCTCTGTCTCTCTCTCTTCCTCTCAAAAAACAATCAAATAAAAATGTCAAAAAAGATAAAGAAAAGTATGTGTATTCATAATGTGTATCTAGATGCTAAAGGGTGATTTATGGGTGATTTTATTCCCTTTTAAAAAATATATTTTGTGTCTTCCTATTTTTTTTAAATACACATTCTATCATTTTCCAAAAAAGAAAGCCGCCATAACCGGTTTGGCTCAGTGGATACAGCCTCGGCCTGCGGACTGAAAGATCCCAGGTTCGATTCCAGTCAAGGGCGTGTGCCTTGATTGCAGGCACATCCCCAGTAGGGGGCGTGCAGGAGGCAGCTGGTCGATGTTTCTCTCATTGATGTTTCTAACTATCTCTCTCCCTTCCTTCCACTCTGTAAAATCTGTAAAAAAAATAAAAAAAAAAAAAAGAGAGAGAGAGAGAGAGAGAGAGAGAGAGAAGAAAGCCATGGGATGGCCACCTCCTCCCACCGCCCCGGAGGCGCCCAGTAGCCGGCGGGAGAGAAGTGGGCTCCTGCATGTCCTTCGCCCTCTCCCCGCTCCAGCGAGGCCGGGGGAGGAACTTTCTATTAGCTGGTCCTGCAGCCTTGGCCTCCCTCTGAGCCCTGTGAGCAGCTGAGGGGCTGGTTCAGTCACAGCACAAACCCCAGTGCATCCCCCCATGAATCCCTTCCTCGGTCCCGTATTCCTGTCCACAGCCATAGGCTCTGCAGAAGCACCTTACAGTTAAGATGAGTGCCCAGGCCCACAGCCTCCCAGCCACAACCACCTCCCTCCCTCTAGATCCCAGCTCAGCGATTCTTCTGGTGTAACAAGAGGAGGCTTCCAGGTGACCAGGACCGGAAGAGCCGAAGCGGTGAAGGTGGAGTTGAGGCCGCCATGGGGCCAGCCAGTTTAGGGCAAGGAGCTCTGCTCACCGCATCGCAGCGCCTGCAGCGCCTACACACGGGCAGATGAGTCATAGGAGCTCTTGCACCTCCACCTGTCCCTGGCCCACTGCCCTCACCACTCTCTAGGGGGCTTCCAGCCGCCCTGCTGCAGGCCGACCTCCGGCAGCTCTGAGCTTCATTCCTCGGGCACCTGGAGAGGGGCGGAGCTGGGGGCGGGCTAGCCCTGTCTCCTCTGTCCCTACAGGCCAGTCACTGTTCGGTCTCTCTTCCTGAAGCCCAGCGCGGGGGAGGAGGGCCACTCACCAGGATGGAGAGGATCACAGGCCCTCGGATGACCCACCAGACGGATGCGTTGGCATTGATGTCCCAGCACCTACAGAGGCACAGCCAGGCATCGCTAGGAGTGAGGAGCTGGCTGACCAGACAAGACTCATTCCCCGAGGTGCCCTTCGTGTAAAGGACCCATACTCCTGGTCCTGCTCCTGTGGCTGGGTGCTCAGCACATGGGAACCGACCCTAACATGCTGCCCCTCCTGCTGCCCCTCCTGCTGTCCCTCCTGCTGTCCCTCCTGCTGCCCCTCTCCTGCTGTCCCTCTCCTGCTGTCCCTCTCCTGCTGCCCCTCTCCTGCTGTCCCTCCTGCGGCCCATCTTCTGCTGCCCCTCTCCTGCTGTCCCTCCTGCTGCCCCTTCTGCTGTCCCTCTCCTGCTGCCCCTCCTGTGGCCCGGGAGCACTGCTGGGGCTGAGGCATTAGCGCCATCTCCGCGCATGCCTGGTCAGTGTTGGGGGAGCAGACAGGTGTGGAACTGGGAGCCAGAGGTTCCAGATACCCCAGGCACACTGCCAACAGTAGCCAGGCAGGTGACATGCATGAGTGAAGGGGCTGGGTGACTGACATGTGACCTGGGACCCCAGGGATGTTGGTGTGGCGGGTACTTGGCAAACTGGAGGGGATGTGCCTGGTCTAAGGCAGCCACACTCTGTCCCAGCTGGTTTGTCATAAAAGGAAGTGGAAATGTTAATAGAACTTCCTATTTTTTCTAGAGAAGCTGAAAATCCAGATTTTTTAGTGAGTCTACCCAATAAAAAATGTATTTTGGAACCACCCTTTGGGGCCGATTTTGGGCTGCAAGACCCTTGTAAGCCCAGCCGGCCTGGTCCACGTGCGGGCCTGGGTGTCGCTGTGACAGTGAGGACCGCCCGGCCTTGTCCCGCCGCCTCGCCTCCTCCCTGGCTCCTGTCAGCTTCCTTTCCTGAGCCTCGTCCCGAAGGCCAGGCCGCGGGCTCGTCTCCCTCCCGGCGCCTCCCACCTCCAGAGAACAGGACTGGGTCTCCTTGTCCCCAGCAGCGGCTGCGGAGGACTCTCCCAGGTGGAGTAAGTGGAGAGGGAGGAGTGGAGGGAGCCCAGGAGAAAGGAAAAGCGGCGTTGGCCCTTACAGCTTCCTCCCTGGGCAGCACCTGCCGGCAGCTGTGAAGCTCTTGTCTGGCACGGACCCAAGCACAGAGCTGCTGGGGCCGGCAGCAGGGAGGGGTCTTGAGGGCGGGGCCCTGACAGCCTGGCACTGCAGGACCCCTGTGGCCCCAGAGTGAGGAACAGGCCTCGCCTAGAAAGTTCCAAGAAATGCCCACCCTGCCTGAAGACCTGGACGACATGAAGTGCATTCTCGTTGCCTCTCCTTCAAACAGCTTACCCAGCATCCTCCAGAAAGTGCCTGGTGAGAGCCCACGAAGCAACGAAAATGGCCGGGGAACCTGAGGGTGGGAAACAAAGGGGGGCCCGTATGAAGAACAGGACAATCAGGCACCCAGCCCCGGTAGGAGCAAGTGCCGTGGAAACCCGCTTGGCAATCCGTCCTGCACCGATGCGCAGGCTCAGGCTTGCGGGGACCAGGGGTGTCCCGGGAACGGGCAGGATCAGACGGATCCTGAAGCCACGAGGGGCTTGCGGTCTCCCAGGAGCCTGAGCCAGACCCTGGAGGGCCTCTCAGAGAAGAGAGGGGACAAAGTGATGGCCGACGCCTGTGTGGTCCAGGATAGTGGCCTCTCACCACATGTGGCTATTGAGAGCTTGATGTGTGGCTGGTTCCCATGGAGATGTGTTGGTACGGGAGGTGCAAGATAGATACCAGAGTTTGAAGATTTAGTACAAACCAAAGAAGGTAAAATATGTTATTCACAGTTTTTATATTAATTATATGTTAAAACAATAATATTTTGGTTGTATTGGGTTGAAAGGAAGCATATTGTTAACATTAATTTCGTGTATTTCTTTTTACTGTGTTTTCTGTGGCTACTAGAGAATTTTACGTTATGTGTGTGGCTCAGATGCTATTTCGAGTGGACATGCTTGTCTAGGTGCTGCATGTAAGAGCCCCACCCTGGGCTGCTCCGTGCAGGACCTCCAGCAGCTGGTCCTACCTACTCAGCTGTCACCTCTACCCCAGGCAGGAGGCTGCCGTGTTCTTCTCTGGAGGAACCAAACAGCCGCAGACAAAGGGCCTATAGAGAGTGATACTGGCAACCCTCCAGTACAGTGGCCGCTCCTAGCCCAATCTCCTTAGAGACATATGCCCCTCGACAACGGCGAACAGTCAGCTCTGAAGTGACTCGTGCTCAAATATGAAAAGTCAAGGCCACTGGCCTCTCAGGAAAGCTGGTGACATAAAAGACAAGGACCAAAACAATCAGAGAAAAGGAACTCAGAGGAAACAGACCATAGAGGAGGCGGGAGGAAGTTGAACAGGAATATCATCAGAGAGATAAAAGATTACATCTGCAAGACACAAACAGGATGCTGAAAGCAGGGAGCATGCGGAGAACAAGGAAGAGGGCTCAGAAATGAAATAATAGGATAACCAAGATTTTTTAAAATTCATAGATGGGTGGGATAAAGACTAGGAATTGCCCAGAAAGCAGGACACAAAGAGCGAAATTAAAAGTAGGAAGAAACAATGAGAACATTAGAGGTTGATTCCAGGATATGCATTCTCGGATTAGAAGTGTCAGTAAGAGGATAAAAACCAGAGGGGGAAAATGGTCAAATAGATAATGTGGGAATACTGCTTAAGAAATGAAGGATGTGAGTTTCCAGACGAAAGAGCCACCAGATGCCAGCAAAAAGGATGAACACCTCCCTGTGACATTTTGAAAAAGGTTCCCCATCCCTGCTCCAAGAGAAGGTGACCTTGTCTGAAACAATCCACTCTTCACGTTCTCGCCCACCTTCTTTCTGCCTATCAAAACCTTCCATTTCGAATCCATTCACCTCCAGAGAAGAACCCTTCAGCCTCCTGCCTGGGGTAGAGGTGACAGCTGAGCAGGTAGGACCAGCTGCTGGAGGTCTGGTCCTACAGAGAGATGATCCCTCGGCTCATATGTAGAGAGAGATGTATAAAAAGGCTCAGGAAACGAATGACATGGTATGTCCCTAACATCAGATGCCAAAACAGAAGCCTTGAAAATTCTGGGTGAAAATGATCTTTCAATCTAATTTCTATGTTCAGTAAAACTACAAATTAGGTGTGAAAATTAAACAAAGATATTATCAGATATGCAACGCAAAAAAATATACTTTCCATGAACTTTTTCTTTCTTTTTTCCCCCATGAACTCCTTCTTAGGCAGATACTGGAGGCTGTGCTCCAACACAACCAGAGAGTGAACCAAAGAGAGGGATACAAGAAATAAAGGGATAAAAGTTGTGGAGGAAAATGAAGAAGATTCTCAGCGTAAAAGTTAAGGGAGTTGAGCAAATCTAGGGAAAAAACAGCCCAAATAGAGCAGGAAGGCAGAAGTCTCTAGAAGGAACATTGGTGAAGTTAAAAAGACAGAACAGACCTAAAATGGAGTCCCTTTTGCTAGGCCCTACCAAGACCTAATTCCTAATCTAATTACAGTGTCAGCCTCTATCATGAGTGAAATTTTAAGCCAGTCAATCTGAAATTCCCTGGTCAGTACTAGTGAGGTCATCTGCCTGATAAGACCTGTGGGGTGGGGTATATATGGCCCAAAATCATTGGGTCTGGCCCTGCCCAGGCATTAGGGGTGAGTTAATTAAATGTTTGGCCCAATGTAGCAGGCTGATTTTTAAGTTGATAATTTTGTATGGCCGTGAATGATGTTCTAAATATCCAAATGGCCCTTGGCAGAAAAAGGTTCCCCACCCCTGCCCCAAGAGAAGGTGACCTTGACTGAAATAATCCACTCTTAAAGTTCTTGCCCACCTTCTTTCTGTCTATAGAAACCTTCCATTTTGAATCCATTGAATTTTTTTCTTTAACAGTGAGTGTATTTGGTTGAATAGTGTGCTCTCAAAGCTCATATCTACTCAGAACCTTAGAACCTATTTGGAAAGAGGGTCTTTGCAGGTGTAATTATGTAAAATGAGGTCAACCTTATAAGAATGTCAATCATATTGGGACCTTGATCCAACATGATGGGCATCCTTATATGAAGACCACAAGAGACACAGAAAGAGAGGAGACATCGAGGGAAGAAGACCATGTAATGATGGAGGCAGAACTTGGAATAATGCAGCTACAAGCCAGCGAACACCAAGGATGCGAGCAATCCCCAGAAGCGAGGAGAGAGGGGTGGAGCCTACGTTCCTCAGAGCCCTCAGGAGGAATCCTTGGTGAAAACCTTGGTGTCTGAGAACTTCTGGTCCCCAGAACTGTGAGAGAATAGACTCCCATTGTTTTACACCTCCAAGTTTGTGGCAGTTTGTTACAACAGCCCTAGGAAACTAATACAACAGGACGAAAACAACCAGGTGGGAACTAATAGATGTGTTGTTGAATTTGATGGTTTGGGAAATAGCACTGGACAACTTGGGAGAATGAGTACAGCAATATAAAACAAATAAGTAAATGAAAAATTACTCCATGAAAAATAAATAGCTAAATATTGGAAAATATTGTACACCACTTGGCTCAGTAATAAACAATATTTACATAGATAAATGATGTTTGTGTTGAATATGATTTAACCAAAAACTGTGAAAAGCTCTAATGGTGGGATAGAGGTAATGGATGAAGAAGTTTTATATCCTTATCTTCTGTCATCAGGAGTCAATAAATAATGCTTCATGTGGGTAAATTTAAAAAATAATAGATTATTGTTAAAAGCAAGAGAGTACATTGTAAGAGGAACAGTTGTAGAGTTGAAGGATGCAGAAGTGAGGGCAGGAGACTGCTTTTTCATTATTATTATTATTATAAGCCTTGTAGTCCTTTGTAATTCTTTAAACCAAGAACATATATACTTTGATAAAAATAGCAATTTCAAAAATTCCCTGCCTCCATTTGGGGGGGGGGGGCCTCTGGGCAAAGAATATGGATTTTGAGGACCACCTGTTCATTGTCTTCCATCTTTAATAGAGAGATGTTGGGAAAGGGAAAAACTAACAATGGCTCGAGTGAGGGTGCTCAGTGTGGTCCCTGGACGAGCAGTGTTATAAATGCAGAGTCTCAGGCTGCACCGCTGGCCACTGGCTCAGAGACTCTGGGGCCAGTTGGGTTTGACCCTGAGGAGGAGGAAGAAATTTTCCTCTACCCTTCTTGGCTCTTCCAGCTGGTGTAATAATCAAATCGACCTAAGTCAGATCAGCAACAGAAAATACCAAATTAATTACATATGGAAACCCCACAGACATGGGAGTCAGAGACACCACATGCATGAGAGGCTCTGAGACAGAAAGGGAGATGGGGTACATATGGCAGTCAGAGGCAAAGATGAGGCAGGGTGTCTTGGAGCTTCAGAGGGGAGGAAGTCACTGCAAGATGATAGAAAGAGCAGAGATTCAGTAATTAGAAGTTTGCCCTGCCCTGTAAACAGATAATTAAAAGTTATTTCTGATAATAACTCTTATTATGGGCAAGGCCCCAAATTTAAATTTGAGAGAAATAAAAATTCCTTATGAGCCCACAGCATCTTGATTGCCTTCAGCTCAAAATAATCCACATGTCAGAGTGGCTCATCTTGGGGAGCCTGTTCTGAACCCCTTCAACATGCCCTCCACCTGACTCTGGTGCCAGCCCCAGCTGCAGACCCACCAGCCTAAGTTCACTGAGGAGTGGGAACTTGGTTCATGCCCATAAAAGCCAGACGTTCACTCTTTTCTGGGTACAGGCTGATACCCCAGCCACCTTATAAAGTGGATAAGTGTTAAGCACCTCCAAAGTGTTCATTCCTTCTGACTCAGTGACCCACTTCTAGAATTCTGTATAACACATGGAATAAACTTTGCCCATTCATCAGTATGTTATTTACAATAGTGAAAAATTATAAAAAACTTAAATGTCCAAATCATAGGTATTTAGTTAAATACATCCACAGAGAAGGCAAGATGTTTATGGAAGAGTTGGGAGAACACAGAGCATGCTTGTGTGTTGATGGAAAGAAGCAAGGTTCAAAATTCTACTTGCAGAATGACCACAACTGTGTGGTGGAAACTGGGAGGAGGAAGAACAGCCTGGGAGAAAACTCCAGAAAATGTTCAATATTTAAATCCTATATAAGCCAGATTTTATGATATCTACAGTCAAAAGCACCCTAACTGATATAGAAAGGAAGCAAAAATGAGGACATCTAAATGGAATGTCTAAGGAAGATGAGGCGACAAGTGTTGGGTAGGATCAAATTGTAAAAAGCTTTGGGTGCCTGAAATTGGCACTAAATTTTAGCTAATATTTCCCATTTGACAGATAAGTAAACTGAGGCCTGATGGTTAAACAGCAAGTAACTTACCTAAGATTATACAAGTTAATTAACTTTAAATGTGGAGCTGGAACTAGAAACAAACTTCTTCTGACTCAGCGCCCTTTCCCACATACCACTCGGCCACTGTCCCCACAGAGAAACATACCCCATCCGAGGGCGACACAGCCCTGGAGGCACTTCCTTTCTGAGAAGAAGGAGACGGAGAGGAGGGTGTGAAGGTAGAGGCCCTCCGCCAGCAGCCAGGCGTAGTTGGCCAGGATGCAGTACTGGAAGAAGACCATGACCAGCTTGCAGCCCACCTGGACAGAGAGAGGCAGGTGAGTCCCAGGATGGGCGAGTGTGGGCTGTCCTCTGGTGGCCGCCTCACAGGCAGTGACAAGGTATGGTAGGGGTCAGGGGCCAGGCCACAGAGTGACCCCTGGGCCTCATGGCCATCCACTGTGGCCTTTCACTATCAGAGGACCACAGTTGGTAGGCTCAGTCACGATGGCATCGTGGAAGCAGGAACTGCATTCACATTTTGGAATTGGCTACCAGTTGTGAAACTGTGTCAGGTATTGCCCAACCCCTAACTCTCTAATTTTTCAGATGAGGAAACTGAACTAGAGAGGAAAAGGCACATTAGAGGGTTAAATCCTTCCGAGCTCAGTATCCCTGGAAATGGATGAAGAAGGGACATGCCAAATATGATGGGGCAACATTGATTATAGTGAAAACGGCCCCTGGCTGGTACATGGCATCTGGACCGGAGCCCTCTAACACCTGATGAGGCTGCCACAGTGTCGGCCTTGCTTGATGCAGTGACTCTTACAGCAAGCATGGCCCTTGCGGGATCCCTAGGAGCTATGCCTGTGGGATTGTGGGGTTCTAGGCCAGCATGGATCCTATACTTGTCTCATGAAGGTCCCCTTTCCTCTCACTGAACTGTCCCCTAGGGATAGGATAGCTCCTGGGCTGGCCCGAGGGCTGCTGCATGGACTGCTGCAAGGTCACGTCCAGAGAGTAGGCATTCCCACGGCTGCACTGCAGGCCATCTGTGGTTTCACCCTGTGGCCTCCCAGAGGCTCTGATTCCAGGCATGGTTCATGGTTGGCTCAAAAGTCTGATGTTAGCAGAATCCAAGAAGCTTCCCTGCTGGGCACAGCTGGACTTCTCCACCGCTGGTCAGGGATGAGGGGGGCGTGGCCTGGATGACTCCTGACCCCCAGTCTGATACTGTTACTTCATCCTGGAGACCTCTCTGAGAGTCATGGTCCCCACTGTAGGGACCTCGTAGTTTGAGTCAGAAACAGACACACACACACACACACACACACACACAAGCACACACACACACAAGCACACACACAAAAACTATAAACACAAACCTAACAGGTCAATAAGGAATTCCAGATGTGAGTGCTGGAAAGTGGCAGACAGGTGACTGAACCAATCTGTTTCCAAACCCCTTCTCCCTCACTGTGTCTGCTTTGGAGAATGTACTGGTAAAAAACTCAATCCCCCAGCTTCCTTTGCAGTTAAGTATGGCCTCCCCAACCCAGTCCTAGTCAATAAGAGGTAGGTAGGAGTCTCAGGGAGGGTGTTCTTTCTCAAACAAAAAGTCAAAGCTTCCCAAAGAGAAAAAGGGTTTAACCTTCGACTTAACTCCTTTTTGTCTGGAACGTGATGTGGGCCTGGGGTTGCAGGAACCATATGCTAACGTGGTATAAACATGGGATCAAGAATGGCAGAGCACAAAGAGGGGCAAGGACTGTGTCCTTCATGGCGTCATGGAGCCACGGTGCCAGCTCTGGGTTGCCCATCTATGGACTGCGTACGTGGGGAGCAACCGCTCTGTCTAGGCCGCGGGCGGATAATTTTCTGTGCACTAAAGGGGTTCCCATGGGCACAAAGTGGTATTACAATGAATTAAGATGCATCTGAGCACATTCAGAAGAGAAAGAGGGTTAGATTGAACCAAGCATGATGGTTTCACTGCAGACCTGTGTGTGCAGACATACAGCATATGCTTCCCCCTTCTTTCTACAACCAACCCAACCCTCTCTAGACTTAGCCATCTGTCTACAGCGGGACTTGGCAAGAGTAGGGGAAGGAGGATCCTTGCTATATATCTCAGCCTCAGAGTGGCTAATCCCAGACCTGGGAGCTGAGTGGCACCCCCCAGTGACTTCCCCATAAAACGAACTAAAACAGGACCCAGCCTGCATGTGGGGGCGTGGAGTTCTCCCTGCATCTTCTGACCCGGCCCCAGCTCTTGGCCCTCTACCATGGGCATTAGTGCAGCCTCAGCAGGGACTCTGGGAGGAACAAGGCTACCGCCCTCTCCAAAGTGAGCCACGCCCTGGGGCACGGAGGCACATTACCGTGTGGGTGTCACAGTGGTCATCATCGTCTGAGAAGAGCACAGCATCCTTAATGAAGTTGGACAGGGCGCGCAGGATGAAGGACACAAACAGGTGCATGTGGATGTAGTTGCGGGTGCAGTGGAGCCTCCTGGAGGGAGAGAAAGCAGGGCCATAAGGGCCCTAGCTGGGAGGAGCCAGGGTGCAGCAGGCCCACCCCTCCCCCAGTGCACAGGGGAACCAGGTCCTGGACACGGCTCTTCCCAGGTGACACCTTTCTCTGTACTGCTTTGTTAGTACAATCTGCATAAGAACTCAGGTCCCCAGGCCAGGTGCTCAGCCTACTCTGTCTCATGCTGTAATAATAATATTAACAAAAGCTGGGTCACAGGGGCAGCATTATATTCTTCCTTGACCTAAGCATCTCTAGCTTCTAGAATTGTCCAGAAGGGATGGGGGAGAGGGGTCCAAGAGGAGAGCAGCACAGAGAGAACACGGGCTTCAGGGAGAAGACAGACCTGGGCTCTGCCGCTGTCAGTTGTATGACCTGGAGCTAGCCTGGTCAGTTATATGACCTGGAGCTAGCCTTGCTAGTTATATGACCTGGAGCTAGCCTTGCTAGTTATATGACCTGGAGCAAGCCTTGCTAGTTGTATGACCTGGAACTAGCCTTCCTAGTTATATGACCTGGAGCTAGCCTTGTCATCTTGGGAAAGTGCACTTTACAACTTATGAAAAGAAACCTCCAAATTTCATGGCAAAACATAAAAATGTATCTCATTTTTCTGAGTTTGAGAAATTATTTTAAAAAATAAGCTAATGCAAACCAATGTGCAGAAAATAAATGTATTAACCACATGACTGTTGTTTTAGGGCATGAAAATCAGCATATAGAACTATTACAACCACAATGCAAGATAAAGTTTAAACTGGAGCTAGCCTTGTGAATTATATGACCTGGAGCTAATCTTATGAGTTACATGACCTGGAGCTAGCCTTGTCAGTTCTATGACCTGCAGCTAGTCTTTTCACTCCGATAGCCTGTTTCCTATTCTGCTGTCAGGGACAGAGGTCTGCTACTTGTTCCCATTGGCCAGGTACCAGACAAGGCTTTCTTAGGGGGAACCCACTCCAACTCTAGTGGGTTTGACTCCACCCTTCCACCCTCATGACAGACCTGACCAATTGAAGCTCTCCAATCCTGGCCACAGTGATTGGCTCAGGGTTGGGCATGTGACCCAAGTTGGGCCTATGAGAATTCCCCCAGGACTTTCATTGCATCTAATGGGGAAGAGACTTTCTTTGTGCTGGTGTTGCAGAATGATAGAATGCACCCCTGCAGCTGCTGGTGGCTGTCTCTGCTCCCCTGCAGAAAGTCTACCCCAGGATGAGGCCAGGGCAAGTGGAAAAATGGAGGGAGACCAACCTAGTTGTGCCAATACCCTTGAGGGCCTAGATTCAGCCAGATGCCCCTGAACTTGTCAATTAATGTGGGTCAGGTCACCTTTGTTTGAAGGTTTCTGTTTCTTGCAACCAAGAGTCTGGCTAACATATCTGTAAAGTTAGGGTAATAGCATTGAATGCACATTAGAAATAACAACGTGTAAAGCAACTGATATGGTAAGTTCCTAGCAATGCTCAGTAAATGTTGAGTGACTAAAGGGATGAACAGGGTCACAAACTTCACAGGAAGGTCAGTCACAGGAACGTCTGCCACAGGTCAGCTTAGATCAAGAGGTGACAAAGTGGCCCACCCTCTGGCCCGAGCAGTTAAAAGAGATGCAAAGTCTGTGTCCAGGGAAGGCTGGGGAGATGGAGAGCTGTTCACGTGTTCTCACCTGAAAGAACAGAGGATGCCGAGGGCCACCAGGAGCATCACCAGGGAGGAGCTATAGCCCACGGTGTACATGACCTTCAGCTTCAGCAGGTACTCGTGCTGCAGAGAGAGGCATGTGTCAGCCCCACCTGCCCACCTGGCTGGCTCTGCTCTCTTCTGCCTCGCAGTGCACCTGCCTCAGGCTGCTTGAATCCCTTCAACCCAAATTGCCACGGGCACCAATTCATAGACTCACAACATCTTGGCCTTGGAACTCAAACTTATATCCCTCTTACCTCACCCTGAATTTAAAGGCTCTGCTTGAATACCTCTAGGGTACGCACTGCCTTCCAAGGAATAAGGAAGTCATTTGGTATACAGCAGTGCAAAATACTAGGTATTTTTTCTCATCTAAAGCTAAAACCTATTATCTTTTGAATTGCACGTATTGTTTCTTAAGCCATTTAAAATAAACTGTACCCAAGGCCTGCCCTTATTTTTTTTTCTGTCCTTATTTTTAAAAAATAAGCTTTTCAGTTTAGAATAGTTTTAGTATAACAGAAAAGTTACGAAGACCTTACAGAGAAGCCTGTCATTTATAATACAGCTATTCCACCAACCTGTGACTCACGTATCTTCTCAGCATTAAATGTTCCCTGTGTCTTTAATCTCTTTCCACCTCCTTCACCATTTTTCTCAATTAATATGCTCCAATTTGTCAATGTCCTTATTAAATAAAATACCCAGAACTGGATAGCTGAAAAGCTCCAGAGGTATCCTCTCACCAGGAAGCAGTAGAATAGGACCATCACCTCTCCTGATCTACACACTTGCTCTCCTGTTAATGTGGCCAAGCAGGCACTTACTTGTCCAGTAGCCACTTCACACTCTTGGTTCATCTTTGATTCAAAAAGATCTCAACGGGATAGAATAAATTGACATAGAAAGATAAATGTAAAGACCTGTATTTAGGTAAAAAAAAGTAAATTGTACAACAGCCTTAAAAATAATCAAGGAAGTAAAAATTAAAAAAAAATACTATACCATTTTTTAATCAACCAAATTAACAAATATTTGGAAGTTACCATATTCTATACTGGTGAGGATACAGTGGGAGTGGAAATTCTTCAATCTCCCTGGAAAGTATCAGGGTTTAAGAACCTTTGAAATAGGCTTTCCTTCTACCTCCAGGAATTAATTCTAAGAAATAATCAGAAATATAATGTATATTTATATATAAATATAATTATCAGAACTATTTTGATGAAAAACATTCAAATGTCCAACAATAGAATAGTTAAATAATTATTCTATTTTTTAAACTAAATTATTTGAAATCCAAATTATTTTAATGTTAGGCCACCACTAAAATGCTGCTTACCAAGAGTTTGAAAAGATGTCAGGACATGCTAAGACTGTAATGTCATGGGAAAGACAGAATACAATTCACATGACAGTAGATACCCTCTCTGCAAAAATGTGTTATGTCAAGCTACATGAAATCGTCCCTTTTTGTAGATAAAAAATGACTAAATATGGACGTTTCGTGCAGTCCAATCTCATACATGCTTAGAAACGAGCTAGTTAGGAGATGTGTTAGATGTTAATACCAGTTCGCTTTGGATGATAAGTTGGTGGATAGCGCTGTTGTTTTCAGTTGTGTTTTTCTACACCTTTCATTTTGCTACAGTGCGTCAGTCATACTTTGTAACCAGAAGAAAAGGGGTGTTTGATTTAAAAAGAAAACAGGCGCAGGAATAGTATTGGGGAAACCGGCTAGCTGACAGCTTTTCATATGAAAATGTCCTTGAAGCCGAATGGCCAAAGCTTCAAGTGTTAGGGAAGTGTCCTGCAGAAAGAACACAGGCGTCAGAGCCAGAAACAAGGGTTCCAAACTCAGGCCCCTACCAGCTGTGTGACCCTGGGCAAACTACTTAACTTCTCTGAGCCTCAGACTCCTCATCTGCACCATGGGAATAATATCTACCTTGCAGGCTTGTTGGAAGAACAAATAAGGTATCAGGTAGAGCGTAGACAATGGCTGGCACTTAGAAGACAGGCAGGGCAGGTTAATTTTCCCCACCTCCGCCCTCCACCCCCATCATCCACCCTTCAACATGACTCAGCACTATGCAATTGCTGTTCGAGATTATGTTATGAAGAATGAGGTATGAGGTAGCTGTTGGAAAAACTCTGCCTGCTCCCAGTTACATAGTGGAGTGCTGGGGAGCAGCCGGCCACATGGGGACATCTGGAGTGTTTGGTCCAGTCTGGGCGTGTTATTTTAAGAGGCACATGAAGAAACTGGAGTGTTCCCAGAGAAGGCTGATCTTGTCACCTGAAGAGCACATGATCACACGCGTGCACTGCACCCAGAGGGATAAACAAACCCCGGGGAGGACTCTCAGGTCGATGGACATGTAGAAGCAGAGTAAGACCTAATGTGTGAGCTCTGGTCGGGGGACGTTACCAGAAAGTAGGCTTGACTCCGAGTGACCAAAAACTTTCTGGCAGCAAGAGGTGACCTCGGACAGGATGGCTGCCTTGTGACATCGAGCTTCCCCACTGATGTCACTGCAGTCCCAGGAGCCAGGAGCCACCTTAGAGGCACAGGGCAGAGAGCCAGAAGGGCAGTAGGTTGCATCAGATTAATGGTTCCTAGACCTTCAATCAGAGAGCAGTGAAGTATCAAAACATTGGAGGACCCACATGAGCCCCACAGCAGATGGTGTTGGCCTCGCCCTAGGGGACGCCTGGTTTCGCAGCCCTCAGTCAGGAGCAGTTTGGGGCAGCCTATGGCAGCATGAGGGGCCCAGGTGACAGCGCAAGTGTTCAGGCTGAGTATTCTGTACTGGCCTGTGGCTGGGGTCATTGTCCACCTCTGACCCACAGGACACATGGCCCAGCTCTCATGCAGACCTGGTCCTGCCCTGTGTCTTTAAGGTCTGACCCAGAAAGAGTCCTGTTCCCAGGAGGCCTGATGCAACCGCAGTGTCTCTGCCCTTGACAGTGCACCGCCTGCCAGAGAACGCGGGTCCAGGATCCTCGCTGCTGTCCATCAAGGGTCAAGTTACCTACCACTCTGCTTTGTATTCTGACTGGGCCACCTTCCTTGTGCATCCTCTAGATTGGGGTCCCCAGGCTTTTCCCATACAGGGCAAGTAGGTAATACTTTAGGCTTTGGGTGCCATAAGATCTCTTCTGCAACTAACTCAATTCTATCCTTGTAATGCAAATGGATGTGGCTGTGTTTCAATAAAACTTTATTTGCAAAAGCAGGTGGTGGATCCGATTTGGCCCAAGGGCTGTAGCTTGCCAACCTCTGCTGTAGGTAAGCAAACCCCATCTTATTTGTTCAAGTGACATCTTTGCCTGGTCTTTCAGCCAGTCTGAGTCCACTCTGTCAATAATATTTGTCAATAATAGAGAGGTGTGTGCCAAGTAAGGAAGCTGAGAGAAAAGCAACAAATCCAGACTTTCACTATCATTTGATTAAAAGAAAAAAATTTTCAACAATAATAAATGGGATGATCAGCCCTGGCTGGGTGACTCAGTTGGTTAGAGAGTTGTCCTCCATACCAAAAAGATTGCAGGTTCAATTCCCGGTCATGGCACATATCCAGGTTGTGCCATGGGTTTGATGCCCAGGTTGGGGGTTTGATGCCCAGTCTGGACACGTGCAGGAGGCAACCAATTGATGTGTTTTTCTCACATCAATGTTTCTCTCTCCCTCCCTTCCATTCTATCCAAAAATCAATAGGCAAAACAATACCATTGGGTGAGGATTAAAAAGAAGAAGAAGAAAAAACCCTTCCTCTTTCGCTAAATCTAATGGGAAAAAACACATATCATCCTGAGAGGATTAAAAATAATTAAATAAATAAATAATAAATAAATAAGAAGGATGGTTCTAATCTCAGAACAAAAGACAAATTGCGTGCTGACTTGTGGACCGGCATTTATGGGCCAGTATGAGTCCTATGGTCTGGAACCCTTGCAATCTTAGGAGCTTTTGATTTTTTCTTAATGTGAGCTGAAGCCAAGTAGGTCTGCTTTCCACTATTTTTGGACAATCATTGTCTGAGGTAAGTCCAACTTTGCATTAATCCCTTTCCGCCTCAGTTTCCTCACCTGGAAAATGGAGACCATGATGAACTTACACCGAACGCTTTTCAGCATTAATGTGATTGTGCAGTAAGCAGCTGGCACGAGGTAGATGTTCAGTCCAGCAATGAGCATCAGTGGGCACCTTATAGGGGCCAGGCATCGTGCTGGGCGATGGGGCCGGGAAATGACTGTTTCAATCTGTCACTGCTGTGTTTCCATGCTTAGCCCCGGGCCTTGCCCAAATGTTTGTCGAGTATTGAATGGAGGCTTTTGAGGAGCTCATATTTTAGTGAGCGAGATGGCTGCCCATGGACATGCTGATGACGTCATAGAATATGGTAGTAGCTAGAGGCTAACACGGTCAGGGAGCCCCTCCTGGGGGACAGGCAGCAGCAGCTTTCTGGGGTTGATGCTCTGGAGTGGAGTTTTAAAGATTGTGTACGAGCTGGTCAGGAAAAGCGAGGAGGGAAGGGTTCTCTGAAATTGACAGCTCCTTCAGGAGGCACCCGGAGAAGTTCAGCCCACGGCTCACAGTGTCCTCTCTCAGCCCAGGACTGACTACCCTGGGGCTGGGCTCTCTCTTTTGAGAGCGAACACTGACTGAGCACTTACGATGGCCAGGCACCCAGCTCACCACTTCCATGGATTAACTCATTTAGTTCTCTGACCAAGCCTGTGAGGTCAGAACAATTATTAACCCCATTTCCCTGATGAAGAAACTGAGGCACAGAGGAGTAAAGTCGCCCACACCCCCACCAAGGTCACAGGCCAGGGCTGAGGCTCACCAGCCTGGTCTGAGCGTGTAGCCACCACATAGCTTCTCTTTTGGTTTCATGACCAAATCCCCCCGACTCATGGCAGCATATGGCAGTCCACCTGTGCCATGCCCACAGAGCCCCCGGTGATGTGCGGACAGAAGTGGGTGGGAGCCGCAGCCCAGGTCACTGTCCTTGGCCGGGTGCTGGGACCTCTCCCCCTGTAGGGCCCTTCCAGGGAGGTTGACAGGCTTACCCGCTTCTCGTCGGTCTCCTTGAACGAGTCATTCACGTTAACCCCACAGGCCAGGTCAGGCCTGGGGAAGATTTCTGACCAGCCGCTCGGCGTGCAGTTTCGAAACATGGAACCTGTGGATGCCAAGCATGCTATGCGTGAGCCGTGGGGACCAGAGACAGAGGCTGGGCCTCCTGGGCGCCCTCAGCAATGCCTTAGGGGCAGCCCGGAGCTTCCTCTGCCACTTTGTCCCCAGCTGCCTTGCTCTGAACCAGGGTCCACTCCAGTTGGCTCAATTCATCCTTGAAGCATACATAGGTCTGTCCGTCAGTAGAAGTGGAGGGAGAGCTAGTAGGCAGCTGGGCCCAGAAGGGGCAAAGACCTGGTGTGTGTGTGTGTGTGTGTGTGTGTGTGTGTGTGTGTGTGTGTGTGTGTTAGAGAGAGAGAGAGAGAGAGAGAGAGAGAGAGAGAGAGAGAGAGTAAGGCTGATCCCTGACACTTGATCTACAAACTAGCAAACATCACTCCCAGCCTCCAGTTACTGCTTGTCTACTTCCCACCGCCTCACCCACACCCACGGCCACTGTGCCAGGCACCAGGGTGCACGAGGAGGGACTGGCAAGGGCGCAGAACTCAGTGGCCCCAACAACAACTCAACCAGAGCCAGGCCCCAGGTGTCCCGGCCACGGCAGCCTTCAGGGTCCCTGCTCCGGGGCCAGCCTACTCCAAGGCTCTCTGAGACCCCTGTTCACTCCCACCTGCCCCCTCACCCTTCCTTCCGCAGGCTCCAAACTCGGCCCCAAGGTCCCTCAATGCTCACGGAGAGCCTTCCTCTGTCTGCCTTCCCCCCGCTGCTGTCTGACCTGCCCCACTGGCATCTGTGCCCAGTTCCAGCACAGGCTGTACCCCATGTCCTCACATGGGGTGCAGTGGCTTCCCTGCCTCCCCTAGCAGGTGACTTCTGAGGGCTCCTCGCGCCAGCCCAGAGTCCCTGGTCTCCAAACATTGGCTGGCTGGCTGGAGAAGCAGATGAGGGGTGAAGAGCCTGCTCTGAGCTCTCCATGCGGGAGAGGGGAGACCTTGCCCACCAAGAGCCTGTAGAACAGGAGCTGGAGCACTGGGGGAGGGGAGCTGCCAGCCAAGGGGGGGCCTTGGAGAGCCACCGGGAGCTTCCCTCCTTGGGACAATAGGCTCAGCTGCATCGCCACTCTGGCTGCCAAGAGGGCTGAGTTCCAGTCCCCGGTCTGGCTGGTTGGGTGCTGCAGGGTGCAGGGAGCTGACCACAGCCCTGACACTGCTTTTGCTCTCATCTGTACCCTGTCCGGGGGCCCCTGAAGCCCCCAGGTGGGCTGGCATGTGTCTTCTGACAAGGTCCAGGTTTGGCTCACTGGCTCTCAGGGTTTAGGCTCAAGCAGATTCCACTGAGCTGGAGAAATATCAGTGTACTAACTAGTATTTCCAGGACCAGCCAATGCGAATGTGCGGATGCTGATCTAGTCGTCAGAGGGCCCAGTGAGGCAGGCGCTGCTGGCCATTTTACAGATGAGAAAACCAAGGCTCAGAATGGGGTAACAGTGCCCAGCCAGGACATGTCCCATCACTGTACTGCCCTCCAGCCTGGCCCCCTCCCTGCAGACCCAGGGGCAGCTTCCAGCAGCAGGAGACCATGGGCTTAATGCCTCACAGGAAAGGGTCCTTGACAGGTTCACCTCAAGGAGCCCTGAAAGCATGGTCAGTGTTTGTGTGCACACACATGGTGTGGTCCCAGGACCCTCATCAGGTTAGGAAACTCTGCTGCTTTAAGGCTGCAATCCCCACTAAGACAGAGGGGCAAGAGGGACAACCTGGCCCCCCTCCCCACCTCACCCTCCCTTGGGGAGTGGGTTTTTAAGGAACTTTGGAAGACCGGTGCCCTTTTAAGAAACGAAGGGATGCATCCTAGAGGAATATTCTAGGCCTGCCACACATAGAGAAATATCTGGGGCAGAATCCAGCCGCAGTTTCTCCAGTCACACAGACACCCCTCCTGTCTGGGCCCATGTAGTCGGTGTCCTGAGATAGAGTTAAGTTACTATTAGCCTCTTCTTACTAAAGGAGGGCTCACTCTAGTTGGGTTGGCTCAGTGGATAGAGCCTTGGCCTGAGGCCTGAAGGGTCCCAGGTTCGATTCCGCTCAAGGGCACATGCCTGGGTTGTGGGCTGATCCCCAGTAGGGGTATGCAGGAGGCAGCAGATCAATGCTTCGAGGGCTCCAGAACACCGGCTTGTCCTCACTGGGCACCCTTCCTGGGTCGGGGTGGGGAGCCCTGGAAACCTGTGGGAGATCAGTGAGGGAAGCCTTCTCTTCTGAGAGGTCCCACAGGGGCTGGGACCTAACGGGACCCCATGGATCTGTGGGGAGGGAAGATAGTGGTGGGAGGTGGGAGGCTGGACTGGGCCTGACCTTGCTCTGGGACTGGCCCATGCCTTGGGCCTGGAGCTGGGTATGAGCACAATATTCCCCGCAGGGGAGACATCCCACCCCACCCTCTGGGGGCAGAGCCTCAGTGCGGCCAGCGGGTCCGTCCTGCAGCCCTACAGCGACACCAGGTGGCAGCAAGAAGAAACTGCATCAGAGGTCGGCATAGGAACCCTGCTTCCTTCCCTCAGCAAGCAGGCCTGGAACTGCACCCCAAGGATGATCCCCGGTGGGTCATGAGCAATTAAGATTGAGGAGCCTTAAGAAGGAGACAGTTGGACTCCAGTTACGGGGCAGGCAGGGGTTCCAGCAGTTGTTTGGGGGGGACGTGGCCATGAGCCCCGCTCTGCCTGGCGCCTCTGCGGAAGGGCTGGTGGGAGGGTGGGGAGGCAGAGGCACTGTGGCTCTGAGAGGGCTCTGACGGGCGGGCTCAGAAGAGAGGAGAGCTTCCTACAACGGGAGAGCGCGCCAGCCAGAGAGGAGCACTGGACAGGGAGTCCTCTGAGACCAGGGTCTGGTCCTGGCCTTGCACCTGACCAGCAAGTTACTCAAGGTCAGGCCTGGATTAACCGTCTGTGTCCCAAGTTCCATGAACCCCAGAGACAGACAAGGAGGGGGGATGCAGGAAATAAGGGCTGTAGAGGAGTTTGCTGCTGTGTGTGTGCCTGTGGCGGGACTTCGGGGTGGAAAGGAAGGACAAGAAGGGATATGAGGGGAGAAGAAGAGACGAAGGAAATATTTAAAAGTTATTTCCAAGCACAGCCTCACAGAGCTGGTGTTATTTGCTCTCCCCATTTCACAGGCGAGAACACGGAAGCTCAGGGACCATTTGAGGAACTTGGGCCCAAAGGCAGAGGCTGGTACCCAATAGGGCCCCATGTCCCACATCCCTTGCAACTAGGAGTCACCACATGACTGAGCTCTGGCAGAAGCAACATGGACAGGAGTGGTATCCCTTTCAGGCCTGGTACCAAAATCTCCCCAGTTGGCCGCAAGCTGCGTGCCAGCACCCAGCAGGAAGGTGCCCGATGCCAGACCCCGGCGGAGGGAGCCTCTTTCCC